CAAGTTGAACGCTAGAAGACTTGCCCGAACTTTTCTGCTGGTTCTGTGGGCGTGGCTTGGTGAGCGTTGCTTGGTGGGCATGTCATGTGACTGAGTGGGCGTGGTCAACTCAATATCACTCATAGCAAGGTGCCGCCCCACCTTGCCATAAGTGATGTCGAGTTGGCCACACCCACTCAGTCACATGAACCCCACCAAGCCACGCCCACAGACTTGGTAGTAAAAAGAAATTGAATCCCCCCCACTGTTGAAGACCCTTCACTTTTGAATACCAAGCATCTTAAAACCTCAATTATCACAAGATGGAAATAAGAAAGGGCTGGTTCTTCCTCCCTGCAATGATCAAAACTGCTGTTATTCAGGAAAAGTTCAGTCTTTCTTAGAAGCTTCTCCAGGGCTCATGAAGGCCAAATCTCTCCAAAAGAAAAAAAAATGCCTATTATAATTTTTTGCAAAATGCTAGTGTGTTCACCTATGAAGCTATGATTTCCTTTTAACTAGAATCCATGGAACAAGCCAGATTAGTCCTACGGATAAGCAAAATATTACAACTTGTCTTGTTTCATTTTCTCTCTTTTCTATCATTAGTAATCGGAAATTAGAGGAAAAAGCTTGAGAATCAATGCCTGTCGTGTTGCTTTTGCCTTGAGCCGCTGTGACTTGGACAAAATACAAATATAAACAAGGACTAAGCCAGAATTTGAACATCAACCAGATTACTAACCAGAATTTGGATATAAACCAGCCATTAGGATGGCTATGAACTAATATTTTAATCTCACTATAATGACCAGATAAAAACGATATCAGATACTTCTTAATGTACCCTTACCTTTGATTACTACCATCTATATATGCCTTTAACAAGAAAGAAGAGCAAACCATTAATGCAATAGCCCCCTCCAGAAGCTTCTCCTACCCCACCCCAAAAAACCAAGGAGATATGCATCCATTGAACATGGCACTCAAAATGAAAACCTTCCAAAAAGAGAGCAAAGGATTTTCCATACCAGTCTTTTCTGACCTGGATATTTCCTGAAATAGGGATTTCAACTTCCAAAATTATTTAGCTAATCTAACCCATTGCTAAGGACTTGATAAATTGGGAATGTTCTGACCTAGGCTTCCCAAGACCATGAAGCAAACTCCTGGTTCCGACAAAAAACCCTTTTATTAATTTACTGTGAATTCTGCTCATTCACATTGAACAAAGTCTTTCAAGGGAGGATTTACAGTCACAGCCCTTATCTGGCTTGGAGAGCTGATAGGCCAATATCTGCAAAACTTGGCAAGGAGTCTTGGAGAGCCACGAACCAATTAAGCAAACTAATTGACTTCACTACCCATATGCTTCTTTTTTATTTCTTCTGGGAGGGGCAATTCATTGTCCAGCTGTGGCCTTATTCCCCTAGGAGACCCTTGTTCTTTAACTGTTCCCTTCGTCTGGCAACACTGTTCATGTGCACACTGGGAACAGGCTCCAGCTGTTTGTCTGCCCCACCGATGTCTAACTCCGAAGGCAGCTGATAACTGGCATACGGCCCAGGCCCCGTCTCTGCCTCTGACACAGAGCCCTCATCAGAACCTTCCCCAGACTCTGAGGCTGGCCCATGTTCCTCCCCAACTTCCTCATTGTCCGAATCTGTTGCCAGCTCTGCTGGCTGCTGGCAGG